GAAGTCCTATGGCTAGACCTAGGCTACTAAAGAAGTTTCTAGACCTCAACCAAAAGTGAGGTCAACACATCACATCATAAATATAAATTTTATTCATAAATTATTTTTTATAATTCATTAAATAAATTTTAAAAATATCATTTCATTAAAATATTTTAAATTTAAAAGTAAAATACTTTTTAATTTTAAGATTTTCTTATGATATCTAATAATTGTGTTAAAATATTACTTTTAAAAATTTAAAGTAAAATATTAATATTACTTAATTAAGTTTTAATAATTATATGTAAAATGCAAACAAAATTTGCATTTCATATGAAACGCAAAATGTTTTTGCGTTTTATGTGAAACGCAAACTCTATTTGAGTTTTTTTGCTCCTTCCCCCCAATAACTTTATCTGCCAGCTCCTATTACAGATAAATGATCCTTCAAGGTTTTTTTTTAAAATTTGATGAATTTTTTAGTTTGATTCTCATCATATATATTTAAATTTAGAGAAAAAAAAATTTATTTCCTCAATATCAGTATATATATTGCATTAGTTTATACATATATATAGAGAGAGAGAGAGAGAGAGAGAGAGTTGATATACCTCTTTCTAGATTTAGGGTCTGTTTGAGGCAGCTGTTACTTATTGAATAATCTGTTGATAAGTTGATTAAAAATAATCTGCTGATAAGCTAGGTGCGGTGGCTATTACCAATTTTTATTTTTTTGAAAAAGTCATATCGTTGCCAATAAGCTCCCACCGCATCTAGCACCGCACCTAGCACATATCTAGGTGCGGTAGGAGTGGTGTGAAAATGCTGTTTTCTGCGTTTTGAAAACACATAAGCTACCGAAACGCGATTTACCCAAACAGATTAGGTGCATTTTCAAAACGCCACCGCACAAAATAAGCTGTCCAAAACAGGCCCTAAAATGGCCTAATCTATGCGCATGAATGCAGATGGCTCTTATCAAAGCATTTATGAACTTGTGCTTTTTTGTTTTTTTACTTTCATTTTCGTCTGTGTTATTGGTCTCTCTTTTATCTTAATAAATGATAATGAGGGCCTAAGTTAAACTATAAAATAGATCTACGCAATATAAGAATGTTAAAATCAATAAATTTGATACTTGATACTGTAGAATCTCATGGCAATCTTGATTGCATCAAATACGAAAGAATGGTAAAGATTGAAACAATTCAGTTAAAGAGTTCATGAAAAGTAATTACTTGGTGGCATTACATCAGACTATTTATAGGCGTGGGTACAAAAAAAGGTGAGTTAAAGAATTAAGTTAGAATCTTTGACCGTACAATAATAGAGTGCATAATCTTAAATGTTAATTATTTGTGTTGTAGTAGCTTAACATTTGTCTTCAAACTGACATTCTTTGAGATACCTGAATCTATTACTTGTAAAGAGTTTTTTGAATAGATCAGCTAGCTGATCCATGGCGGTGGTGTGATAACTGTGATGTAATTATTCTTAATGTTTTCTCGAATATAATGACAATCTTTTTCATTATGGTTAGCTCTTCCATAAAAAAAATCAAATGGTTAGCAAGTGTTATCACAGATGTATTATGACAACATAATATGGTCGGTATGTGAAAATTGTAAAATTCAGTAGTATTCACCTGAGCAAAACTATATCTGCGGCAGCTATTGTTAGCGCTCTATACTCGTCCTCTGGTGACGATCGAGCAACAGTGGCTCATTTTTTGGCAGACCAAGATATGGCTGTAGTCCCTAGGAAAATATAGAATCCAAATGTGGACTTTTGATCGGTAGGATTCCTAACCCAATCTGAGACTGCAAATGTCGGGAGTTGAGATTGCCTCAAGTTACTGGTAGACCCAAATTTATCACCCTTGAAAAATAATTGTGAAGGGTTGATGGGGATTCCTTGTAGATTATATAACCAAAGTTCTTGGAAGTGAAGGAAATATTGCTATTATTAATTATTTTCACAAATTGCACAATTATTCAAGGTTTTGCTCAGCAAAATTTCAAGTTTTTTTATTAGTACATTACATTTGTACATAAAATTATGTTTTATGCCATAATTCCAAAATTACAGGCAAAAAATACACCTCTCATTTTCACAAATTAATCTTGAAAACACCACAGCACCAAAATGGTTCAGTTTCAAGAAAATATCAAACTGAAAATAATATAACAACATTAACAAGCTCTCCCTTGTTGTTTTTCATATACATTGGCATACTAAAACCATGACATCAACATAACCTGTCTTTTTCACAACTATAATGTAATCCTTTTCTTCACAAAAGTTCTTAATTGCTGTATTTGAGTTCTCCATCTTCTCATGTCCCATTTCTCTGAATTGAGTCATCTAGAAAGATAAAAAAGCAAGCTGAAGTTTTTTCTCGGTTACTTGTTTTAAAAGTCTCTAAGGAACCATTTAGCCATTATAAATGCTAAGGAAATATAGTTTTCTGCAAAATTCATGAAAAATAAAAATAAAAAGAAAAGCAAATGGATGCTTATGGTTTCACTCTTTGATGCACTTCAAGTATTAAACGTTGCTCTCATGAAAGCAGCCATGCTCTATTAAAAATATAAAACCATAACAAACCACAAAGAGCTGTTTCACTGTTTCATCTTTCAAAACCTCCAACTTCCACCATGCATCTTATCCTCCATGAAACAATTCACATCACATGATCAATAGCAACAAAGAGGGCATCGAACTAATCCATTCTCATTACATTCCGAACATCTCCTGAATCCTCCAATCTCCACCTCACCTTCTTCCTCCTCCTCCACAAATACCTTGCAGCTGCCCGAACATATCTCGCATGGCACAAACCTGACATCGCCGCAGCCTTCGCAGTTCACCACACTGCAGCCATTCTCCATCGCCACCACCTCACAATCTCTCAAAGCTTCTTCCAATTCACCCGCCTCATGCATCCGCATCACCTCTTCTGCTCCGCCAATATACTTTCCATCAGCAAAAACCCTCGGAAGATTACTTCCGCAATACCCAGGACCAAGAATCTCAAGCAACTCATCCTTGAAGCCTCCATGCATCGAAACATCTCTTTCATCAACCCGAAAACCGTAGCCTTGAAGTATAACCCTCACATTCCAGCAATCTTCAAAGGTCTTTCGCACTCCTCTCAGACTTGTTAAGTACAGCACGAGTTTCCTTTCTCCACCCGGCGGGCTTTTCTTCAATGGCGACACCATTGGCTTCTGGGCATCAACAATTCCGGCGAATTTCAGTATTTCATTTTCTTCGAAAGAAGCTTCTTCAGGGGAGAGCTCTGTAATGGCCTTTCGGAAACCGGAGATGATATCAAGATCAAATCCTTCGTAATCTTCGGAGGCAGACTTCACTGGCGAGCACCTTGCGCTCTCTTCCAATGTGTTCGAGGCGAAGGATGGTCGGAGAGGAGTTATATCTTCGAGGCCATCCATTAGTTCCCACGCATTGATGATTTCTGGTTCGAGCTGGTAATGCAGGCTCGTTGCCGGTGTATTTGACACCCGGATCTCGGTGGAGACTAGGTTCTTATGGTCGTTAGTGCTCTTCGTCATCTCCTCATCGAAGAGATGGAGGGCTGCGGTATTAAAGCTGTCGCCTTTGCGCTGGGATCCAATCGACACAGATACGGAGAAAATCCTGACGAACGGAGACGGGCTTTGGGGACGGTCTCGTTCTGCTTCCCTCGAGTTCGTGCAGCCCATTGGAAAAAAATTTAGAAAAGAAATAAAAGAACTTCAAAGACTCGTTTTTTGGGGAGATCGAATGGGTGGATCAAAATTGCAGGAAAGTCGACAATGCGAATTCCTTCTGGAGAATATCGTCGATCAGCTGTTGAGCATAATGGTGCGATCAAAAAACGGAGGACTGGCGACGAAAAACAGAGGAGAAGAATGTAGAAGGTGGGGTGATTGAATGGGTCAAATGAGGTGAAGGAGTTGCCGACCATGAAGAGAAAATTCGGTAGAGAAGAGAAAGGGACAGAACGAAGTCGTTTTTTGGTGGCGGGGAAGAGGTCGTTAATGAGAGAGAAAGGGTGGTGTGGAGAAGTCAACACGAAAATGTGTACGAAAGTTACAACCCAGTCTATCTGGATTTCGGTGGAAGACAAGGAACTCCGTGGGCTTCGCCGAGAAAGCCGGTCAGGGGTGGCGTCGAAGTGGGCAAACTTGAAGAGTTTGGTCTTTAGGTACGGAAGGATTTTGTTAACGAGCAAATCATAAAAATACTTATAAAACATTAATTTTAAGGGGGGGTTTACATACATAGTATTCAAAATATTAATATTTACATAGTTTGGGGTGAGAGATACGTAAATAGATGTAAAATACACTAATTTTACATATGTTTTGGACTTTTTGGCTCAAATATTTGAGGTCATTCAATGCTTGCTTTCTTCAATTTTTGGATTAAAATAATAATATTTGATGAGAATATTCAAAAGATATCAAGAGCCTAGATTGGAGTTCAAATAGCTTAAATCAAATACTCAAAAAATATAATTGAAATTTTATGAGACTGATTAATGGTTCAAATATCATCTAATTTTAATGTGTTTATAGTAGAAAAGAGCATCTCAAGAAGTTTGAATGATGATGAAATGTACAATATTAGAAAATGGCTGAGAGATTATGCAATGTCAATTCTTCAAACTATTTAGTCATTGTCTTTAATGTGAGCTTGGGTGAGGTTCATGCTTATCTCCATTGCTTTTTTGTTTAATGAATGAAGAGATTCAAAGGTGAGTCATTGAGCTACCTTGTTTGGGTGAGATGAAAAACTAGTGAGAGAGAGAGAGAAAAAGAGAGAGAGAGAGAGAGAGAGAGCGAGCGAGCAGAAGGATAAACAAAAATAAAAAGTAAGTGGTGTGGTTGTTTTCGCTTTCATTTCTACATAATATACCTACTTCATCTTCAATAACAAGATAAGAAAGAGATAGAAATAAAAATAGTGGATGGAACAAATTTTATAATCATTGTCATTAAAAAAGTAGCAAAAACTTGAACCTCAATTACAATCACACTCTACATTTCACTAATCTTCAGGATAGTAGTGTTCATACAATGGAAATTATCTTATTGTTCAATTCTAATATGTCTGTAGCCTTATACAACTTAGGGAAGAGAAATTTAGAAAAATAAAAGATAAGAAAGAGAAAAAGAGTTTGCAAAGAAAGAATTTTGAAAATTTATTGCTAGTTGATTAATTACATAGAAATTGTCTCCTCACCCCGAGAGCTTCCTTCCCTATGTATAGTCTTGGGTCAACTCTATGATCTCTTATATAACGAGCTATACAAAAAGAATAATATATATATATATATTGGCAGATAATTGTTACAAACACAATCTACACAAGAACATAACTATATTGTATCGATTTGAGTGGATGTGAACTCCAAGAATAAAAGAATGAAATGGAAAGAACTTGTCATGTTGATTTCGAATCTCAAATGAAAAGGTCTATTTTTAAAATTAAGCTAAAAATATATTTTAATAAGCTAAATTAATTTAGGTTAAGAACTTGATTCTCTGTTAGTGGGGCAGAATTGTAATTGTTTAAAGTTAACTAAACCGTGAATGATAGTCTTATTAAAAGTGAATTTCAACTAGAAATGTGTATTTATAAAATCAAAATTCCCAACCAGAACAATGTAAATATATAAATTAAATTAAATACACCATTTAAAATCTACGAGCAATCCTCATCTACCTTTCACAATTATCTGTTAAGGGTGATAAACTTTGTTAAACTAAGCTCAAAAAGACCTAATATCATATTAAATATATTATTAAATTCATAAATCATAACCATTTGATTTGGTAATTTTTCCATTTAACTCCATTATATTATGATCAAAATTGCACAATGTTTATTCCTCAATTCCTTTGCCTGTTTGAGTTATGAACAACAGGATAGATCTGATATGACATAAATCTTCAATCAAATAACGTTAACTTAAATATATCCCATTAGAATAAATGTCCATTGTATAACTACAAGATCCCCTTGAAAAAAGAAATCCATGGTTAATGATAAGGATCATTTAATTAGCTTAGATGAGTATCTCATTTGACAGTAGGTTAAGTACCAAGATAACCTAGAACAATAGAACCATAATCTTAATTTGGTTCAACATCATTCCCCTCACTATCCACTCCACCCTCTATTCTCATACTGTAAGGGTGAGTGTGTCGTGGAGACAGTGACCTACAAGGGTGGGCGTGTCGTGGAAGTTGCAGTTTAAAGGATGAGTGTGTCGTGAAGGAAGTGTCCCGAAAATGTGGGCGTGTTGTGGAGGTACCCAAAAGATGGGTGTGCCATGAAAGCAACGACCAAAGGATGGGTGTGCCTCCTCCATGACCCAAAGTATGAGCGTTCCATGGAGGCAACGACCCAAATGATAGACGTATCATTGAGGCAGTGATTCGAAAGGTTGGGCTTGATGTGGAGGCAGCAGTTTGAAGGATAGGTGTATCGTGGAGGCAGTGACCCGAAAGAAACGACTGTGCTGTAGAGAGCATTAAGTCAAGTGGCGAGCATGTCATGAAGGCATTGGCTCAAAAGCTGATAGTGTGTTGTGGAGGCATTGGACCAAGTGAAGAGAGTACCACAAGGGGAATTAACTCAAGAGAATGATGAATCTCACTTGAGAGAATCATTGAAGTGGAGTGAGTGTATGAATGAACACACAAAACACAACTTCAACATGTGATGATGATTATGCTAAATATCTCACAAGTAACACAAAAGCACATACAAAATACACACTATGCAAGTGAAGTTGGTTGTTCAACCTGTTGGGTCAACCAGAGTGGTCAACCCGGGGCGATGTAGCCAACAGACTAAGTTAAGCTAAGGTATTCGATTGTACCAAAGTGATTGGTCGACTTGGCCGAGACGTCCAGCCGGAGCGAATTGATTGGTCGATTGGGTCGTGGTGGTCGGTCGAGGCAAAATGTAGTGTGTAAGATGCAACATATAAATTCTGATTTGTGTGGGCGACCAAACCCAAAAGCGCATGGAAATCTATTTTTCGGACTGACTAAGAAAGAAAAAGCGAAGGGGATTTATGAATCTCACCAACACAAAGGTTGTGGATGTGTTCCGTCTAGTAGGATGAAGCTCTTATAATGGTAGGAGAGAAGCTCATCCAAATCCTTCCCCAAGGAAATGGGGAAGCTCTCTTTGAAGGAGAGATCGCCGGAAAATTTTGCTGAAATAGTCATTCTCTAACGCAAGATGATGCTTTCCTTACCAGAGAGACCGCAAGCTTTCTGGAATCCTCCTTCCTCTATGCTAGGATGAAGCTCTCCTTTATTGTAGGAGACAAAAAACCTTGCTTCCTTGTTAGGCAATCTCTTTCTTCTCAAGAAAATCTCTTCACACACTCAAAGCAAGTGGTGGAGGATGGAGGAGGAGAGGAAAAAGAAGAATAAGAAGGTTGTGAGAAGAAAGCCCTCACTCTCACCTTTCTCTCAAGCTTTTCACCTCAAGAAAGCTCCCAACCTTTCTCTTGGAAGGAGAAGAAGAAGAAAGCAGCTAGAAGCTTTTCTATAGGAAGAAGATGATCAACCCTTGGAGGAGGAAGTGAGTGATGAAGCTGAAGACGAGATCATAGGAAAAATGAGGACGAGAAGGAGCTTAAACCAACCCCTCACAAATTTTCCCCCAAAATTGCCAAAGAAGGCCTTGCCACCTCACCTTAGGAGACTCCAATAAAGGAATAATTACCTCATTTATTTCCCTCCAAAACCAAGAAATCCTTGCAATTTCAACTCATTGGGAGGTGCCCCTGAACAAAACAATGTAAAAAATGTCTTTTTCGTGATCTGGAACTAAACCGTCACCTACGAGCCCAGGCGCCACCCAGGTGGTGCCTACTTTCCCAGGTATCGGGAAAATGGTTGTTTTTTTAGCATCCTAAACCCTAGATATAGAAATTGGTGCCAAACTTCCATGGGCCCAGTTTTGGACATTCGAGAGGGCATTTTTGGGTGCCTAGGCGCCCGAGGTTGGTGCTTATGCGCCAGCCTAGCCTCGAAAACCCTGATTTACATTGGGAGTGCCCTAGGAAGGATTTTCTCGATCTGAAAGCTATATTAGACCACATGTAACTAAATTATGATTCTCAAACTTTTAAAATGAGTATTTTGCTCATCAATTGATCAGAGAATTGGTCACCAATTGGTGCTCCGAAATACAACGCATGTAAGGCATTCTAAACCCTAATTTTCTTGTAGCGCACTGAACTACAACGCAAGTAAGGCGTTCCAAACCCTAATTTTATTATAGCACACGTAGAAGAACTCAATGAGTTATCTTGACCTCAGGGAGGCTTTGAATGGATACAGAGGGACCAATGGACACTATGTCCTGAGTATGCCTGCTCAATGACATATTCTCCTAAGTAAATATGAATTAGCGCAGACCTTGGTTTTTTGCCTCGAACTTGACCAAAGGTTATAGATAGGTGTCTTGAGCTACAGGATGCTATGAATGAGTCGTGAAACGTTCTGACCAATTCGAGTGAACACTATACACAAGTCACATAAAAAATGGCGCTAACAGAAGCAGTGAATGTAAGCAAACATCTTATGGGAAAAAAATTAAATATAGATGAAAGGAACTCATTACAAAAGAATGAAAAATATTCTAATTAGCTTAAAAATAAAAAAAAAATTTATTGGTTGTAAGTTTTTGTTTAAGAAATAAAATTCACTCAATATATTTATGCTGAAGTTCAAAGTTAGACTTGTTGAAAATGAATACACTTAAAAACAGAATAAATATTTTATATTGACATTTTCCCCCATTTCCAAGAATACAATAATAAGGATTGTGATGTTCATTATAACAAAATATGATCTTGAGCTTGATTAAATGGACTTTATTACTTTTTTCTTACCTGACAACCTAGAGGAGACTATCCACATACAACCTAAAGGTTTTGTATTGGGTGATCATGTCAAAGTTTGTTGTATAGTAAGATCGATATATGATTTGAGGCAATCTACTAGACAATGGTAAATCAATAAATTAAAAAGAATTTGTTATGTAAGGTGCATATTAGATTACTATGTATACCTCAATAAGTCATTTAATGTTAATGTCAAACTGCATTTACTCATTTATGTAGATGATATTCTCGTTGCAAGCAAATAGAGATCAGAAGTTGATTATGTTGAAAATATAATTATCTATGGTGTTTGAAATGTAGTATAATGCTGCAACAAATAACATTTCAGGGATTCAAATTGAAAGGATCAGATCTAAAGACAAACTATTTCTTTCACAAATGCATTATAGGAACACTTCAAAGAAGTTTGGTAGGGAAAACTCTAAAATGATTGGCACGCCTTTGGAAAGTCATTTTAATTTCTAACCAAATGACACACCAAAGACCAGAAGATGAGGAATCCTACATGAATAAAATCCCCTACGCTAAAATCAAGGAGTGTTTAATATATGGCATGATTTGTACACACACAACCGGATCTTGCTTATTCACTAAGAATGCTGAGTAGATTCATGGAAAATCCGAGGAAGGATCGTTAGAATGCCTTGAATCTGATTTTATGATACATTAATGGTACGGTTAACTTAATTTAGGATTGTTATATTAAACAGAAACTTAAAGTGTTGAATTCATGTCAGATTATATTGATTCTGATTTTGTAGGATGTTTATATTCTAGAAGAACCATTTTTGGAAAGATATTTACAATTTTTGGTGGAATAGTTAATTGAAAGTCATCATTATGATCAAAAGTTGCTTTGTCCACTACCAAAGTCAAATTTGTAATAACAACTTAAGCAATCAAAGAAGGTCTTTGTCTTCAAGTATGTATGAAGAAGCTGGGGTTTATGCAAAAAGTTTGTAGCATTTTATGATAACCATAGTGCCATACATCTAATGGAAATTCTTAGATTTCACGAGAAATCTAAGCACGTTGATGTTAAATTGCTCTTTATTATTGATATGAGTGCAGTTGAAAATGTTACAATCAAGAAAATTGCAAGTTCAGAAAATCCAGGTGTCATGATGCCCATTTGTCTGCCCATTAATAGTTCAATCATTGTTCGAAATTAATAAATTGTTGCGAAATTGAAACTTACATGCATAAGCATTCAGGTAGAGATCGTTAGATGCTTGTAATCCTAATTCAATCTCATTCAACATTGTATTTTTCTTTGAGTGTATACTTCACTTTCTTAGTTCTATTGTAACCATATTCAATTTTTCTGTTACCTTTTCTCATGACATGTTATTATGGCAAGTTATCCAATAAAAGATGTATGTGTGTACATATAGAACAGTTATTCGAGAGGGGGAGTATAATACCATTTAACTTATATACATTCTAATTACAATATCACTAATGATATCGCAAGAATTCACAACACTATTATCTACGTAGATCAGCAGTACATATTTCAGAAAGTGCGAAAACAAACGCGATGCAGCAAAAGATAAACAGCAATTTAAACACAAACTTTCAATATATATATATATATATATATATATA